GCTTTTAAATATTCTATCCTTTTACCTATTGCATGTGCAGTGGGAAAAGGAAGAAAGGCTTCTTGAACTATAGTTTGGGGATCTCCAGATGTTGGACTTGTAACTCCTAGCATTCCTTGGAATTGGTTATGTTGGCTGTAGCTCCTGGGAATTATAAATTGTTGTTACAATGTATTGTCGAAGGCTTTCATGGCCGGAATCACTGGGTTGTTGTAGGTTTTTTCTTTGGTCATTCTACAGATATATAAACCCAATTTTCCTAGTTCCAACAGACCTCACAACTTCTGAGGATGCTTGCCATAGATGCAGGCGAAACGTCAGGAGAGAGTGCCTCTAGAACATGACCATATAGCCCGAAAAAACCTACAACAACCCAATTCTTGCTACAGTTTATATTATCTGATTCAGCCACATTCCTAATTCCAAATGAGAATTGTTTGAACTTTTGTATATTTCATTTTCAGCATAGATTCCATCCTAACAGAAGTCCACATTTACATGCTCCTTTAACCAGCATTTTGAGAATAAGTGGAAGTAGTGCAATCCGTAGCGTGATGCATTCTTGAAGAGCATGTGTTATGTAAACTTTGAAGCCGTTCTGTCTGCTAAATATTAACTTGAAATTTGTTAGGTAAAAGTAGAGGTTAAGTTTGTTGAGTACATTTTTTCCTAACAGCTGAGAGCTTTCACAGACAACAGGGACGATATGGCACTTGGACATGTGATTGTGTTGCTCCAGCATGAGTGGCCACGAGGCGAAACCCTCTTCTTGAAAGCAATGAACAAAATCTGCCAACAAGGAAACTTCCAGTATGAAAATTTTTTCAACTATGTTACAAGTATCCTTTTCTCAAAATGTCAGTTAGATTGAAATAGATGGTAGGAAAGCCCCTCTTTTTGCTACAGAAAAGGAAGATTTGTTTTTGTTTGTTTGTTTGTTTTTGGAAATGTAGGCCAATGAAGTAAAATTAGTTGGGGACAAGAAGGAGAGAGGAGAAAGATTGTGGAAGCAATAGAGTTTTAAGAGAGTGAAAGACAAGAAAAAGGAATTCAGGAATGCCACTGAAACTCTGTAACATGCTAAAGTGGTAACAGTCCCTGCCTTTTTTATTTTATAGAATTATATTATCATAAGTACCTGCAAAGGCTATCTGGTCCAGTCCTCTGCCATGCTAGTAGCACCTCTGAGTGTTTTATTTATTTATTTATTTATTTATTTGACTTGTATATCGCTACTCCCAATTTGGCTCGGAGCGGTTTACAGCAGTAGAGTAAAACAATACAATTAACTTTAAAATACAATTAAAACAAGAACAGACATAGTCCCGAGTTATTCACCCATCGAAAGCTTGTCGGAAGAGAAAGGTTTTACAGGCTTTCCGAAAAGCAGTAGATCTCGGATAGTTCGGGTTTCAACTGGCAAGGCATTCCATAAATAAGGGGCCACAATCGAGAAGGCTCTCTGCCTAGTAGAGGACAGATGATAAGTCCGGATGTTGGGGACTTCAAGCAAATTTTGGTCTTAGGACCGAAGTAATCTCTGGGTTTGGTAGGGGGATAAGCGGGCCCTCAGGTATGCCGGCCCCAGACCATATAAGGCCTTAAAGGTTAATACCAGCACCTTGAAAGTAATCCAGTACTCAATTGGTAGCCAGTGCAGCTGTTGTAGAATTGGGGTGACACCTCGCCGGCACCCTGGCGAGAAGACGGGCTGCCGCATTTTGCACCAGCTTCAGTTTCCGGATCACTGACAAAGGAAGGCCAATGTAGAGGGCATTATAGTAGTCAAGCCTCGAGATGACCATCACCTGTTGGATATGGGATTGAAATTTGGATTGACTGGACTTACTTAGGCAATCCCTCATAACCCAAGGATGAAGGTACTCAAGTGTAGTAGGTGGGTCCGTAGGTGGCATTCTTGATCCACATGTTCTCCTGCAGCAAGGACATCGTTTTCCAGGTGGAAGGAGGGACCCGGTCAGGGTTGGCTTGACGCACCTTCCTCTTTGCACGTTTCTCTCTTCCGCCTTTCATTCATGCCTCTTCGAATTCTGCAGCACTGCTGGTCACAGCTGATCTCCAATTAGAGCGCTCAAGGGCCAGGGCTTCCCATTCTTGGTGTATGCCTCAGTTTTTGAAATTGGCTTTAAGCCCATCTTTAAATCTCTTTTCCTGTCCACCAACATTACATTTCCCATTCTTGTGTTGGGAGTACAATAACATAGATGATACTTTATGGGAAGGGATTAAGCATAAAGCCAAGTAAAATTATATGTACCCGGAGTGCTATTTTGCTCCAACATTTACTTGCCAAATATTAGAAACCTACAAACCATTATGTGCATGTGTGCCTTCAAGTTTTGCAGCACTATCCTATGCATAGATCATGTTTACTTCAGTGTTTTTTTCTGTTATTAAGTCTGCTTCAATTTTTGCACCTCAACCATTTCACCAGACATTGATATGCTGGAAGAGTTTTCTTACTTAAGAACACAAGAAGGAGGAAAAATTCACCTGGAGTTGCTACCAAATCAGGGAATGCTGATAAAGTAAGAAGAATCTTTTTTTCAAATGTTAAAGTTGACAAGTTTGTCATGATTGTTTTTATATTATGTAAATGCTATTTTAGATTGTAAGTCGCTCGGAGCACCTTGGTGGAGAGCGACTAATTAAGAAATAAAGTGAAGTGAAGTGATTGCTGATATAATTTATGCTATGTGTATAGCTCAAATTGCAAAAACACTATGTTATGAAACAATTAATTTAGTAGTCAACTTGCATCGATTATATTTTAGACTTCTTGGTGAGTAGCAAAAAATCTATGCAAGACTGCATGGAAATTAGGTGTGTTTTTTAACGTATCAGAATCAGCTATAGATATAGAATCAGAATCAGATATAGATGAGCAATACCTTCAACATAGTAGAACTGCAATATTAATCTCCAAAATTGTAAAACAAGGCGGTCCTGGGGGAGTATCGGACCTGTCCTGGGAGAGTTTATCTTATTTCCAAGTGGATTTGTGTCATATCTCCATTTAATATGAAGAGAGTAATGTTAAGACATACAAGCTATTAGGAATATCAACGGAAAGCTCTGCTATGATAGAATCTATAGTGACATCAGATGTCAACTCCAATTCATTTTCTATATTTTTTGCCCAAGCAGGTCACAAACATATGCTAAGCTATTAAGCAGCTCAGGCTATTACATCCATTGGGTTTTATCCATTCTTGGCTTCTGCTTTTTATGGGGCAAAGACACATTATAGGACTACATCAGCAAGGTTTTATCTATTATTGGTTTCTTTTTTATGGGACAAAGATACATTATAGCACTACAGCAGCAAGATGTGATGATTTGATAGATTTTCCCAAGTTGGGCAGTTCTGGGCTGCGCGTCTCATGATGTTGGGTCTGAGGTGTATTCTGGCCATTTGGATTGTGCAACCAAACATCCTCTCTAGTCCAACCTATTTTCCTTCTATCTCCTGCTCATGGTCCATTCAGCCTCAACTGTAGCCTTCCTCCTTTTCACATGATTTTGGGTGTTGGAATGTACTGCCGTTTTCAGCACCAAACATGTGATCAAAAGAATTGGAGGAAATGACTGCAAGAAGAAATAATCAGAAAATGGCTCTTCATGTGGTCATTAAAGGTGTGAATAAACAACCTGCACTATAAGATAGACCAAGGGAGCATTTCAAGGGAGAATGAGGGTAGTTGGGGTTTGGACCATCAATGAACATCCCATTCAATGGTAATGCCTTGATAGAATCATATAATCATATAATCAAAGAGTTGGAAGAGACCTCATGGGCCATCCAGTCCAACCCCCTGCCAAGAAGCAGGAATATTGCATTCAAATCACCCCTGACAGATGGTCATCCAGCCTCTGTTCAAAAGCTTCCAAAGAAGGAGCCTCCACCACACACAGAGAGTTCCACTGCTGAACGGCTCTCACAGTCAGGAAGTTCTTCCTCATGTTCAGATGGAATCTCCATCTCCAATAGCTTAGCAATTAGGCATGTGCAATCCATGGTTCTAAAGTACTTACAAAACTAAAGTTCTGGTGGTGAAACTAGGGGGCGCTGGTGCTTTGCTTCTACAGTGTTGCTAAAGTTCTGGTGGTGAAACTTTCAGAACTCTAACACAATTTTTAAAATTTCATTATAAATGGCAGTTCCTAATAGGTTCTGTCATTAAAATCACCAATAATGAAATAATAATGAAATTTTGAAAGTTTTGTTAGAGTTCTGAAATTTTCACCACCAGAACTTTAGCAACACTGTAGAAGCAAAGCACCATCGCCCCCTAGTTTTCACAACCAGAACTTTAATTTTGTAAGTACTTTAGAACCATTTAGAACAGGGGTCCTCAAACTACGGCCCGAGGGCCGGATACAGCCCTCCAAGGTCATGTACCCGGCCCTCTCTCAGGGTCAACCTAAGTCTGAAATGACTTGAAAGCACACAACAACAACGACAACAACAATCCTATCTCATCAGCCAAAAGCAGGCCCACACTTCCCAATGAAATACTAATAAGTTTATATTGGTTAAAATTGTTCTTCATTTTAATTATTGTATTGTTTTTTGCACTACAAATAAGATATGTGCAGTGTGCATAAGAATTCATTCATGCTTTTTTCCAATTATAATCTGACCCTCCAACACTTTGAGGGACTGTGATCTGGCCCTCTGTTTAAAAAGTTTGAGGACCACTGATTTAGAACCATGGATTGCACATGCCTATTAGCTGTTAGTAAAGTTTCATAAGGTATCAGTCATCATAAAACTTAAGCCATGCTCCAGGTACATACTAGGAAGGATTATCCAGAAAAATGCCCAGGATAGATGGAGACTGGAAGAAAGAATATAGAGAGTAGCTGGACGAAGATCTTTGTTCATGGCTGTCATAAAGACTAAAAAGCTACTTTAAATTTTGTTTTCAGAATGCAGAATTTGGATATTGTATTGTACATTGGCAATAGAATTGCTGAGAGAAACAGTCCTTGGTATTATTGATGTCCGCATTGGTGCTATAGTTAGCCGAATATATGAGAGTCACCAGTGTGCTTACGGGAACAAGATAAAAACTGTGTCTGTCGGAAAATACATGTTTGTGGGTAGAGGATCAGCAGCAATATGTTCCATTCCCAAAGGGTTTTTAGAAACTGGCAGGATACATCATTACCTTCTCTAAGAAAAAAGATTCTATATGCAGTAGAAGAGAAAATCCAGTACTTTAGCTTGTTCATTTGCTCATGGAGAAAGGTTTGGGAATAATTGCTCTAGGGTTGAACTACAGGGCAGCAATATGCGTTTTTATTTTAGCGTATTTAAGCATTCTGCCAAAAGTGGTACGCAAAGTAGCTAATGGAAAAATACAGGAAAAATGCAGTGATGAACAGGTCCTTGAGCAAAATCCAAGAAACAAAGTGTCACTATTTTTCCAGAGGCTTCCTCCTTCCCAACTTTCTTCCCACAATAAGTTAGGTTTATTATAGATTTCCTCCTAAGCAGGAGTAAAGATCAGCAAACATTGTGGAGGAGTTTTTTGTATTTTTTTCAAAGTGGCAAGGAAAAAATTGTAATTTTGAATAGTTTTCACACATGGAGGTTTCCTTTTCTTGTCTCTTCTTGCTCCATCTCTGTTTAGCACTATAAGAAGCTGTTCGTCTTCTTGAGACTGTTTTTGAGTTTAAAATATCTATGTTTTAAATTCTTGGATTTCTGAAGATGGTGATTCTTCTGCTGAAAAGTGTTGTCCAGAGCAGGGGTCCTCAAACTAAGGCCTGGGGGCCGGATATGGCCCTCCAAGGTTATTTAACTGGCCCTCGCTCAGGGTCAACCTAAGTCTGAAATGACTTGAAAGCACACAACAACAACAACAACAACAACAGTCCTATCTCATCAGCCAAAAGCAGGCCCACACTTCTCATTGAAATACTAATACGTTTATATTTGTTTAAATTGCACTTCGTTTTAATTATTGTATTGTTTTTAAGTGTTTTTTGCACTACAAATAAGATATATGCATAGGAATTCATTCATTTTTTAAAATTATAATCTGGCCCTCCAACAGTTTGAGGGATTGTGACCTGGCCCTCTGTTTAAAAAGTTTGAGGACCCCTGGTCTAGAGCATCAAATTCTGCTGCCATTTTATTTCGAAGCGAATTTGAAAAAGATGCAAATCCAGCTTCCTGATAACCAACAAGAATATTGTGGTTGACTGCATTAGTCTGAAAACATTTGAGCATGTTGCAAAACAAATGCTGCTGTGGTAGTTCCAGATCTAATGCTTTGCTGTCATGATATTGTAACGAATTATTGGTGACTGGCTTCATGGGCAAATGTAGAATAGAAATATTCCATTAACTAAACATCTCACACATTTACCCCAGTCTGGGGTTTGAAACAGTACTTTTTTCCATTATCTTAAAGGTTTCTGTGGGACTGCATCTTCTCTCACCATCTTTTCTAGCTACGTAAGATGCATGAAGTACATCAGTTTGACTACATTTCGGTCAAACCACCTCTGAAACATTGGCTAGAAACTTTATTTATTTGCTTTGTGATATTTTTGTAGCTTTTAAAACTTAAGAACATAAATGATACTTTAGAACATAAATGATACTTTATGAGAAAGGATTACGGTAAGCATAAAGCCAAGTAAAATTATATGTACCTGGAGTGCTATTTTTTGTATCGATGTTGTTCACCGCTTTGAGTCGCCTGAGGGCTGAGAAAAGCGGTATATAAATAAAGTAAGTAAATAAATAAATAAATTTTGCTCCCAACATTTACATGCCAAATATTAGAAACCTACAAATACCATTATGTACATGTGTGCCTTCAAGTTGCCTGATAACTTAAGGCAACTCCACAAATTTCATAGGGTTTTCTTAGACAAGGGATTCTTAGATGTGGTTTTTACAGTCAAAATTGCTTTACTGTAATATTGATTAGCATCTTAAACATCGAAGGAACTAAAACTTGGGGGTAGGGAGGCTTTACATGGGAACAAAATATTACTACTGTGTTCCTATCTGTCCCTAGAACTAAATTGCCCCACACTTTACATTATATCATTATTACTTTACTTTTAACTTCAAAGGCAGCATCATATGAAATGTTAGGCTTCATAGTCTGGTGAGGCACTAGAGCTCTCGGGCTGTAAGTCTTCCCTAAAATACACATTCCACAATTCCATAGGATGGAATCATGACAATTAAAAGTGACTTGCTGTGAGTTTTCTGGGCTGTGTGGCCATGTTCCAGAAGCATTCTCTTCTGGTGTTTCGCCCACATCTATGGTAGGCATCCTCAGGGGTTGTGACGTCTGTTAGAAACTAGGCAAGTGAGGTTTACCATATTTTCCGTCCTATGAGATTACTTTTTAACTCAGGAAAATCCTCCCTGAACTTGGGGGTCGTCTACTATGCCAGGTATAAGTTATCACTTCATATTTTGGGTCAAGGCGAGGGAGGCGGGGAGCTGCCCTGCGCTGGAGCAGGGCGCCCGCAGCTGCTGCTGCGTTCCTCCAGCGCCGCTTGCTTCCCACTGCCTGGCTTCAGCCTCACTTAGTGGTACTTCCACTCCAGGCCTGCCTCGACTGTCAGTGTGGAGGAGGAGGAGAAGGCGATATACTCGCTAGATGGCTGCATCGCCTCCTCCGCCGCACTGACAGCTGAGGCAGGCCTGGAGTGGAAGAGCCCCTCAGTGAGGTTGAACCTCGGCAGTGGGAGCCAAGCAGCACCTGAGGGCTGCCCTCCGGTGCCACTTGGCTTCCCCTGCCAAGCTTCAACCTGACCGAGTGTTGCAACCCAGAGCAGGAAACTGGACCCTCAGACAACAATCCACCACACTTGGCTTCAGGAAAACAATCCTTTTTTATTGATGAAAGATGAATACAAAATAGAGGAAAAAATGCAAAGGTAAAATGCCACAGTAAAAATCAGCAAGAAATGTCCATAAACAAGATCATGAAACCCACAGCTAAACTGCTGAATCCTGGAACCTTTTAGCAAATCACTAACCGTACTTAGGGCAACTAGAAAACCTCCGAGGAACAAGGCTACTTGAATCAGGAGACCTGCAAACGCTGGCACATGAATCTGGAACGATGCCTGGTCTGAAGCTGGATTCAGAACAGGCATATTTAAGGCCAAGAAATCTATTGCGAGACACGCCTGAAGATTTTGTTTGGATTTCTTTCAATCTGGCTGACCTGCGTAAACATTGGGCTTCTCCCCGACTCTGCCAAATCTGCCCCCGCCTATCCTCATTAGGCAGGCCAGGTGCCTGATTCTCTGGAGAGCTAAAACTGGGAGGAAAAGGGAGTGAACCGTCTCCACTTTGCTCGGAATGTATGTTCTCATGGGAATCTTGACTTTCACTTTCCAAGGCTGTAGGATTTTCACTACTCAAACCATCATCATCTGAATTGGCCTCAGAATTCACATTGACATCTACATGGGCATCAGGAAATACGATCAGAGAGTCAGAGTCAGGTTCAAGTTCACACACAGGCTGAACCCCAACAAGGGGCTTTTTCACTCCAGGCCCACCTCGGCTCTCAGTACAGAGGAGGAGGAGGGGATATACTCACTGGACGGTTGTGTCACCTCCTCCTCTGCTGCACTGACAGCTGGGGCGGGCCTGGAGTGGAAGAGCCCCTTAGTGAGGCTGAAACTCAGCAGTGGAAGCCAAGTGGCACCTGAGGGCTCCCATTTTGGAGCTTCAGCCTGACCAAGGGGCTTTTTCACCCCATACCAGTCTTGGCTGTCAGTGCAGAGGAGGAGGTAATATACTCAGTGGATGACTGTGTCACCTCCTCAACCACCACACTGACAGCCGAGGCAGGCCTGGAGTGGAAGAGCCCCTCGGTGAGGTTGAAGCTCGGCAGTGGGAGTCAAGCAGCACCTGAGGGCTGCCCTCCGGGCCACTTGGCTTCCCCTGCCAAGCTTCAGCCTGACTGAGGGGCTTTTTCACCCCAGGCCAGTCTTGGCTGTCAGTGCAGAGGAGGAGGTAATATACTCACTGGACGACCGTGTCACCTCCTCCACCACCACACTGACAGCCGAGGCGGGCCTGGAGTGGAAGAGCCCCTCGGTTAGGCTGAAGCCCGGCAGCAAGAGCCAAGCAGCGCTGGAGGAGCACAGCAACTGTTGCTGCTTCGGGCGCCCTGCTCCAGCACAGGGCAGCTGCCTGCCTCCATCTTGTTTTGGATCCAAAACAGGAAGTGATGAGCATGGCGATTAGCCAGCTGCGGTGGGGCCTGGCTATCGTGGAGGGTAGGCCATCTCTATGGAGTTGAGAAGCCACCTCAAGGCCCAGGAAAAGAGCTTCTGGGCCTGAAGGGGCTGGCAACTGGCAAGAGGGGTAGTCTAATACGCCGAGTATATAAAAAAATTAAATTTCAAATTGAAAAGTTGAGGGGGTCGTCTTATGTGGCTAGTTGTCTAGTACACTGGAAAATATGGTATATATCTGTGTAATGTCCAGGGTGGGAGAAAGAACTCTTGTCTGTTCAAAACCTGAAAAACTCTAGGCAACCCAGTGATTCTGTCCATGAAAGCTTTTGACAACAAATTAAAAGTGGAATCATAGTGCTATAATTATAGTGTGAAAGGGTACCTAAATTAAACATTAAAGTGGAACTGCACATAATAAAGACTGGATGCATTCTCTTCCCTTCCAAAGCACCCTTAACCTGATTGTTTGTTTTATCCTGAAACTTGCTTCTGCACAATCACTGAAATTGAGGGCCAGGGAAGTGAATGGGTTTGGTCATGGAAGTTTCAAAGGAAAGCAGGATGGCAAGCAATCAGTTAACAACCCTGCCCCTTCTCAAATGTTGCCAACTGCCCTTTACCGTTTTGCAAAGGAAGGAATGCTGGGACTGTGGTGTTACTCATTTCTTATCATTCGTAGTGGGAACCTGGTCTGACAGGGTTGACCAGTTTTACCAGACTTGAAAAGTAGGTAGAGGTTCAACGCTTTTGTATTTCTGGCAGCCTCTTGAACATGGTAAACACTTGCTTGAACTCCTATTAGAATCTGGTACTGAATAGAATCCAGGAATCATTTCCCCAATTTTGTGTTTGTTTGTTGTAAATGCACCATATTGTGTAGTTAGGATACGTAACATCCATAGCTTTTCACATTCTCTTTATTGTGGGTTACCAAGCCATTCAATGAAACTCTTTGACATCTGTCATCCTTAATCAAAGAACTATTGTATGCCTACAGGAGGGTTTGGACTCTTCCTTTTTCTCCTCTCTCTGTCTCTTTCTGGGGCATTCGTTTTTTGTAGGACAGGGAAAGTTGGTGTGGGTGTTTGAATGCTGCTGTTTGCTGTTTTTTGAAGGACTTCTAGCCCTCCGCTGGGGTTACTGCAGCAGGAATTCATACCTGTACTACAGCCCAGCATGCAGACTGCTGACAGGTACTAAGCAGGGAAACATCCCTGCTCATAGTGTGCTGTCTTTTTTGTCAATATGTTTTACTGCCCATGGTTATCGACCTTTGTTAATTCAGTAGTTTTCTCCATGCTTTTGTTCCTCATTTGTGCCTGCATCACTTGGCAAGCCATGTTTTACTATTGTTAACATTTTTTATTATTTTCCATAACTTACTGGCACATGTGTGTACTTTTTAAGTGGACTGCTGGATAATTAAATGGTAACTATGCTCTGGGTATGTTTTTGGTAAAGTATCCCATCTGTTATTTTAGGAAAATGCAAATTTAACTAAAGATGGGCATTGTTTTGTTAAATATATTACGGTTCTTGTCTCTTTCCCTCTAAGTATCTGCTTGCTCTTGTTTTCCTTGCCTCTGATCAGTTGTTGAAAATTTTGTTCTGTGCGTAACTGTTTTCTAATCCTTCAGTAGAACACATGTATACTTGCTATTTTCTGTTTTGCAGATGGGCAAGGACAGAAAGTAGCCCTTGACTCTCAAAATACCGTTTGGGCAAGATGGAGGCATTGAAAAAGACAGGGCATAGCATTAATAAATCTGTTAGTTAAAAATTATTCTGCCCAGTGAACTTTTTGTTAAGATAGGTAACTAAAATCTAAGATGCAAATTAGTATAGGACATCTCTAATTAACATAGTTAAATCCTCTCTGTATTTTTAACATTTTATCCAATTGCTTTTTGATAGTGTGTCAATTTTGGATCTAGGCTGTCACAGTGACACATAAAATACAGTATAAGCCAAATGATCTTCCAAAATGTTTAATGAGTTGCATTTTCCGTCTGCCTCTTGCCTCCCTTTTCTGTCTTCCTGGAACTCTCTTTACCCATTAATGCTATATAGTAAACTCCAAGTCAAATTTTCCGTCTGCCTCTTGCCTCCCTTTTCTGTCTTCCTGGAACTCTCTTTACCCATTAATGCTATATAGTAAACTCCAAGTCAATAGATGTGTTCTTGGTGGATAAGCAGCAATAGTTGGCTTCTAAAGTTCTATTTATTAGTGAAATTCTGCACCCTAATCTATTGAGGAAGTTTTTGTTTGGCTGTTGTGACCTTTCATGTTAAAAGTGGCGCAGTGGGTTAAACCCGTGCCGGCAGGACTAAAGACCGACAGGTCGCAGGTTCAAATCTGGGGAGAGCGGATGAGCTCCCTCTACCAGCTCCAGCTCCTCATGCGGGGACATGAGAGAAGCCTCCCACAAGGATGATTAAAACATCAATTCATCTGGGCGTCCCCTGGGCAACGTCCTTGCAGATGGCCAATTCTCTCACACCAGAAGCGACTTGCAGTTTCTCAAGTCTCTCCTGACACAACAAAAAAATTTTTTTAAGTCACACTTCCAATCCAAAATCTTTGGGTAAGACACTGAGCATGTAGAGATGTACCTAGAATCTTCATTGTAAAATTTAAGATGCTTTTATTTCTGTAGCTTTTGGAGCTACAGTAGTCGTCATCGAAGTTGTAGCATTAGGAACAATAACAGAACTCGATATCCTGTGCCTTTGTTTATCATTGGCACCACTGAACATGTCAAAAGGGGATTTAATACCAAGTCTTTGGCCACGGCTGAGTTCTTATGGACACTTCTAGTAACTTACGATATAATTCCAACATATACATTTTTTAATCTGCTTGGTGAACAACCTATGTTAGAAAAGGAGCTCAACATACCATGTTTTTGTCCCATTGATTAACATGGGTATTTGACTGTTGTGTGTTGTTGGTAGCAGTGGTTCTTCTTTTATACCACACATTATAGAATCATAGAGTTGGAAGAGACCTCATGGGCCATCCAGTCCAATCCCCTGCCAAGAAGCAGGAATATTGCATTCAAAGCACCCTTGACAGATGGCCATCCAGCCTCTGTTTAAAAGCTTCCAAAGGAGCTTCCACCACACTCCGGAGCAGAGTTCCACTGCTGAACGGCTCTCACAGTCAGGAAGTTCTTCCTAATGTCCAGATAGAATCTCCTTTCTTGTAGTTTGAAGCCATCAGAGACAAAGATATTTGAATAATTTTTAGATTATTCAATGATTTTGATATCATTTGCAGATATGTTATAGGATTTAACCATCATATTAAATAGTTAAATGACAAGAATGTTAGATTAAACTGGGAAATTAAATTTTGCAGCACAGATCAAACAGGATTATTTAAACAGAAACAACGTCTTCATGCCTTTTAATTATTTGTTGTATTACAATTTCAGGCATCACACAGTTACCAGAGGAATAACGAAAGGTGTGAAGGAGGACTTCCGTTTAGCAATGGAGCGGCAAGTGTCACGCTGCGGGGAAAACCTGATGATGGTGCTGCACAGATTCTGCATCAATGAGAAGATCTTGCTCCTTCAGACACTGACCTGAGTACCAGTCAACTTCATACTGCAAAGATCCTACTTAGGAGAGGCAGGAAGAGAGAAAAACCATGTCTCTTGGTACTGGATTAGAGATACTCTGAGATGTATGGTTCGGTCTGCTAAAAGACTATCAACTGAGTAACTTTAAGCTCAAAAAAATGTGATGAGAATCATCCATCAACACCAATCTTTCAGTTGACCACTGTAAATAAAATAACCTTCACATATATAAAACAATTCATGTTTTATTTAAGGTATTTGGTTGCGCCGTCTGGCCCAATCACTGGCTGTAACAGTTGTGTGTGTATTGTGTGGCCACAGTCCTCTCACGTTCAGAAGTTAGCAGTTGTGTCGATGTGTTGATTGTGTCAATGACGATGAAGTTACTTTCAGGTTTTCAGAGGTAATTCGAATGTAGGAAAGCCGTGCTAGGTGAAGGAAGCTGTTACAGAGTGGGGCTGTGCTGCTGTCAGAAAAATTTACTGGTCTTTCTTGAGGAACAACAAAAAGGATGAATAGCTCATCCAAATTTTGGCCACCATACATCATCACATCATACAGTGGTTCTCAACCTGGGGTCCCCAGATGTTTTTGGCCTACAACTCCCACAAATCCTAACAGCTGGTAAACTAGCTGGGATTTCTGGGAGTTGTAGGCAAAAAACATCTGGGGACCCCAGGTTGAGAACCACTGACATAATAGTTGCCAGTGTGTAATAGTCACACCCTTATTTTTTGCGGTGTGAAAGTTCACTGGTTTTTTTGTGTGCGTTCCTTGCATAATAGTTGCAGAGCCATTTGAGGCCCATTCTTCCTTCTCCAAAGAGAGTTTTTTAAATTCTGAAATGAAGGTCTCTGGACATTGAACCTTCCTTCCTTTCTCCAAAGAGTTCAGTTTCAGATATTGTAAATTGTCTTCTCTTTGGAGAAAGATATGAGGAGGAATTTTTCTCTGAGGCAAGGCAGTTTTAAAAACAAAGAAACAGAAATTGAGCTGTTTGTTTGAGGCTGGCTCATCCCTTCTCCTGTCTTGGGGGGTAAGGCAGTTTTTTTGAAAAAACAAACCAGGGAATCAAAGGCAGATGTTTTTCATTGTGAAATAGTTGCATTCTCCTTTTTGCAGAGAAATATAGGGATAAGAAGTGTGACTATTATGTAATGAAATACGGTAGTTTTGACAATTACAGACATGCTTCCATGACATCAGAATGGATAATCACATCAAATGCATTTTCACTTATACATGATACAAGAATATAATATTCCTAAATGAAATGACTGTGTGCTTGCGAAAGTCATTTAAACCATACAGATGTTAGGACTGATTCAATGTTTTATTTAGAAATGGAATAATGCATGTAGATAAAATTGTAACAAATAGTTTTAGCCAGATGGCAAATCAGAAGACTTTAAATATGCATGTCTCTGAGATGACCTGGAATGTAAACCAAACACATGATCCCTTTTTTAAAAAAGTAACACGTAGAAGGTGGGGTACTCCAGTGCCCCAAGTTCTTTTGACCTATTGCATTGAGCTAGATTTTCCAGAATATTCTTTTCCGGTAAAGTACATAGGATATGAAAACCCATAGAGAGGTGGCAATGAGGTTCTGAGCCAAGTGTTCAGTGTGAGATTGTGCATCCTGCATCTTCCATTTAAAAGGAAAGTAGTTTTCAAATATTTCATGGCCAACGTAGACGAGGATAGAGTTCATACCTTTTGTGAGACAAAAATAAGATAAGGAACATTATTCTGAATGACAGATGTACAACAAAGTAATGTTTAGTGATACTATAGAGTAAAAGTTGTGTGCTTCCTTTTGATAAACACTCACCTGGAAAGAAAAATGGCGATCCTGACCATACTTTCTTCACATCTACAAAATAGTAGATTAACAGCAGAAGAACAAAGCCAAAGCTGCTCAGCGTTGTCACATAAGAGATTGACCTGTAAAAATTTCAAAATGCCTAAAGATTACTGACATCTATATAAATAAAAATGTAATGTTCATTTGTGGGGTTAACAGAACTTAAAAACCACTGGACGATTTGACACCAAATTTGGACACAATACACCTATCAAGCCAATGAGTGACCATCACTCATAAAAACACTGAAAAACACAGAGGAAGAGACTTAAAAGCCAAAAAAACCCCCTCCAAAACCCCCCTACAACTCCCAGCAATCCTCCAAATAGATAAGATAGATTAGATATAGATAAGTAGGTAAATAGGTAGATAGATTGATCAAAAGGACTTCTGGGAGTTGCAGTCCAAGAATAGGTAGAGAAGGAAGAAAGGGGAGAAAGGAGAAGGGAAAGAAAAGCGGGGGGGAGGAAGGGAAGAGGAAGAGAAGGAAGGAAGGAAGGAAGGAAGGAAGGAAGGAAGGAAGGAAGGAAGGAAGGAAGGAAGGAAGAAAAGGAAGGAAGAAAAGGAAGGAAGAAAAGGAAGGAAGAAAAGGAAGGAAGGTGAGAAAGAGGGAGGGAAGGTTGGCCACAGCAACACATGGCAGTTACAGCTAGTACAGAATAAAGTGTCTTGTTATTCTGCTCACCACAAATTCTTATTCACTGGAATAAAGCCTTCATCTTTGGAGCATTCAGTCAAGACAGCAGAAATGACACCCTGAAAAACAGACATTGGAGAAGAGTGTGGGACTTAGACCGATCTTGTTGCATTCATGGATGAATGTGATATTGAGAAGTAAATCATTTCTATGGGCAAAGGCAAAGCCATATATAGATCAATGGAAGACCTTTTGGCTTTTTAATACTACTAAAATTTAAAATACTTAACTCTGTATGCTAATTAAATATTATAATAAAAACAGTATTATAAAATTTAACAGTACAATGAAATACTGTTTTTCTAAAGAACATGCCTGAGGCAATCTTTTGTTGAGAGGTGATTAGATGTCCTTGATTGTTTCCTCTCTGTTGTTTTGCTGTTGTAATTTTAGAGTTTTTTAATACTGGTAGCCAGATTTTGTTCATTTTCATGGTTTCCTCCTTTCTGTTGAAATTGTCCACATGCTTGTGGATTTCAATGGCTTCTCTGTGTAGTCTGACATAGTCTAATCACCTCTCAACAAAAGATTACCCCAGGCACCAACAAGCCACACCAAACAACTGCCAGGCCATCAAATGCTAATCAAGATGGTCAGTTGAAACATTCACACCTAGCTCCAGCAGACAAGGGTTCTTTGTCCCACCCTGGTCATTCCACAGATATATAAACCCATTTTCCTAGTTCCAACAGACCTCACTACCTCTGAGGATGCTTGCCATAGATGCAGGCGAAACATCAGGAGAGAATGCCTCTAGACCATGGCCATATAGCCTGAAAAAACCTACAACAATCCACTTATGGTTATGTTGTTTTTACTTTGTATGTTTTGTGATGTTACCTGGGAACCACTCTGAGTCCCCTCAAGGAGATGGAGCGGTATATACATCAGGAGAGAATGTCTTTAGAACATGGCCATACAGCCCGAAAAAACCTACAACAATCCCATATATGGTTCATAGGCTACTCTTTGCCCACCTGTGCTTTTAGTAATTGTAGCCTCAAACTATAAAGTGTCAAGGAAAATGATATTTAAAAGAAATTTTCCTTTAATTAATATTTTCAGAAGATAATGAAGGCTTTAAATCAATCAAAGGAAGAACCCATCTGAATGAAATGGTCTAGGTAATATACATACGGATGGTAACTTACCATTACTACACTCCATATGCAAAAGCGGAGCATTATTTGTCTGTGCTGATCTTTGTAAAACAAGAGAATTTTTCCAGCCTTAAGAGAAAAGATGGGGAAAATGCATATTAGATGACGCAAAAGCAATATGAATGAATTTAACAGAGAGGGAAACTACTGAACTGAGAGTATTAGGAGAGTATCTCCTAATGCATATCAGGTTTTTCTAAAACTTCAACCAAAATAACTTCCAAGAGCCCATGCAAAGTACTGACAGCTTATTCCATATGTGCTGAAAGAAAGAGGGAAAGAATCTCCTTGCTAGATAGCTAGCTGGAGAGGCAGTCTAAAGAACTTTCCTATCTTTTACAAGCATCATGTTGTGAAAGAGATACAGTACCTGAAGTCCCAAAAATGCCATGACGACAGAATTGATCGTTCCCAAAATCCCTTCAGGATCAAAGGCCACTGTAGTTTGGTAAAGCACCTGGAATTTGAGAAGCGCATGACATGAAAGTGCCGCCTAAGCTTGATTTTCCTTTTCCGTCTTAACTTTTTCACAACCTTTTTTCTTACAGTACTTTCTTGTCTTCCAAGATTACCACTGCAACAACTATTTTGGATCTAAGAATCCAGGCCTAGTCTTAACTAAAACAGATCCGGTGACTGAGTCAGCAAATTAATTCTAACTGGAAATAGCAACTGGGTTCATTTATTTATTTACTTTGTTTTTATCCTGTTTTTCTCCCAATATAGGGACTCAAAGCAACTAATTTATTTATTTATTTACAGCTTTTATATTCCGCCCTTCTCACCCCGCAGGGGACTCAGGGCGGATTACAGTGTACACATATATGGCAAACATTCAATGCCAATTTTGACATACAAACATATACAGACATACACAGAGGCTATTTAACTTTTTCTGGCCGCCAGGGAGCTGTCGCTTTCATCGTCCATCTGCGACGCTGATGAAGCACTTCCGCATTCCCCGCATGCTTCCCCGCTGGAATGCTTTGCTGGAGTCTTCTTTATGGCCTCATAAATCAGTTAATTTAGCCTCCCCACACTTTAAGGTGGTACCTAATTTTCCTACTTGACAGATGCAACTGTCTTTCGGGTTGCAAAGGTCGACAACAGGCTACACATAATTGGTTGGAAACCCACTCTGACCCGGGCTGGCTTCGAAATCATGACCTTTTTGGTCAGAGTGATCTTAATGCGGCTCACATTCAGCCAGCTGCGCCACAATCCCGGTGCAGAAAACATGACACAATGCAATTAGAACAGGACAAATGCATTCAAGTATGAGTATGAAAATTTAAGAAACAGGAAAATGGAGCATATGAGGAGTCACTGACTTGCTTGGAAGGGGGCAAAACTAGCAGCAACCAGCCCGGTATAACTCAAACTTTGGCTCTTCAGATATTTTGGATTTCAATTCCCACAATTCCTAGCTGCCTACCGGCTGTTAGGAATTGTGGAAATAGAAGTCCAAAACACCTGGAGGGGCAAAGTTTTACCATGCCTGGCATAACTCCTGGCAAAGTATTGAGAGGGCCAGTAGCATGAATCATAGAATCAAAGAGTTGGAAGAGAGCTCATGGGCCATCCAGTCCAACCCCCTGCCAAGAAGCAGGAATATTGCATTCAAATCACCCCTGACAGATGGCCATCCAGCCTCTGTTTAAAAGCTTCCAAAGAAAGCCTCCACCACACTCCGGGGCAGAGAGTTCCACTGCTGAACGGCTCTCACAGTCAGGAAGTTCTTCCTCGTGTTCAGATGGAATCTCCTCTCTTGTAGTTTGAAGCCATTGTTCCGCATCCTAGTCTCCAGGGAAGCAGAAAACAAGCTTGCTCCCTCCTCCCTGTGGCTTCCTCTCACATATTTATACATGGCTATCATATCTCCTCTCAGCCTTCTCTTCTTCAGGCTAAACATGCCCAGCTCCTTAAGCCGCTCCTCATAGGGCTTGTTCTCCAGACCCTTGATCATTTTAGTCGCCCTCCTCTGGACACATTCCAGCTTGTCAATATCTCTCTTGAATTGTGGTGCCCAGAATTGGACACAATATTCCAGATGTGGTCTAACCAAAGCAGAATAGAGGGGTAGCATTACTTCCTTAGATCTAGACACTATGCTCCTCTTGATGCAGGCCAAAATCCCATTGGCTTTTTTTGCCGCCACATCACATTGTTGGCTCATGTTTAACTTGTTGTCCACGAGGACTCCAAGATCTTTTTCACACGTACTGCTCTCGAGCCAGGCATCCCCCATTCTATATCTTTGCATTTCGTTTTTCCTGCCAAAGTGGAGTATCTTGCATTTGTCACTGTTAGGCAGTCATGAGGCAGTCATAACTGTATGAGTTATTGCAGTTTGAAAGATATATTTTTGAATTACTGTGGGGATGGAGGCTGAAGGATTTCTCACTGTCTGCTGCAAAGCATGCGCAATGTTTGCCTTCTTGCCAGAATATCTCACTGACTGCACTTGCCAGCACTGGTGGCTCTCTTAAAATAAAAGTATGCACATTGCAGTTACATGCTGATACTCTAATGCAGGCATGCACGAATACTCAATATACCCAAATGTGAACACTGATGGAGTTTGAGGGAAATAGACCTTGACATTTGGGAGTTGTAGTTGCTGGGATTTATAGTTCACCTACAATCAAAAAGCATTCTGAACCCCACCAATGATAGAATTGAACCAAACCTCTCACACAGAACCCCATGACCAACAGAAAATACTATTTTCTGATAGTCTTTGGCGACCCCTCTGACACCCTCTCACGACCCCCCCAAGGGTCCCGACTCCCACGTTGAGTAACACTGCTCTATAGAGTTTTTTTTTTAAGATTCTCAAGGTCAATGCCCATTACACCCTTCCAGTATTTTCTCTTGGTCGTGGGAATTCTGTGTGCCAAGACTGGTTAAATTCCCTCGTTGGTGGAGTTCAGAATGCTCTTTGATTGTAGGTGAACTATAAATCCCAGCAACTACAACTCCCAAATGACAACATCAATTCCTCCCTCCCCCAACCCCACCAATATTAAAATCTGGGTGTATTGGATATTTGTGCCAAATTTGGTCCAGTGAATGAAAATACATCCTGCATATCGGATATTTACATTACAATTCATAAAAGCAGAAAAATTGCAGTTATGAAATAGGAATGGAAATAATGTTATGGTTGGGGGTCACCGCAACATGAGGAACTGTGTTAAGGGGTCGCGGCATTTGGAAGGTTGAGAAACACTGCTATAGAGTGATGATGGAATACTAAATTTGTTTTAATTATTTTGAATGGAGATAAGAGTGGTACCGTATTTCTTCAACTAAGATGCCATCAATTGTAAGATGCACACTAATTTCAGTACCAACAACAAAAATATATGAGATACACCCGCGATTCAAAGACACACCCCATTTTAGAGATATTTGTATAAGAAAAAAGTACATCTTAGAATTGAAGAAATACAGTATTTTTATGTGATTAGTTGCTGTTTGGTCTAGGTGGGTTTCCCACCAACATTTTTCCGCCACAACAAAGAATACTCCTCCTGGTAATAATAAATTTCAAATTTAAATACCATAGCTTCAAAGCCATATTGAGTAATCTCAAATACCAATTCTGACAAAGAAAGAAACAGCAGAGTGATGTTCAGCTCTGGAGACTTATAAAAACAACCTGCCGCAATTTCCCTTCCGATACCATTTAGGTTTTGAACCGAGTGATGAAAAATGTGACAGAAATTTAAACTACTTACATTAGAAGAAGGATGTTGGTAGATGTGTTTCTCTCCTAGGAGTACATGATCAATATAGGCAGCTGCTCCTCCTGTACAGTTAGGATAGTTTCCAAAATCTCCTATGCCGCCAGGGCCAAGGTAACCACTAGAAGAGGAAAAGGAAAAGTGATGTATGTAATTGGATTCTACTAGCCATCCCCTGCCACACACTGCTGTGGCCTGCATAGGGATTCTGTGTGGGAGATTTGGCCCAATTCTATCCTTCGTGGGATTCAGAATGCTCTGTGATTGTAGGTGAACTATAAATCCCAGCAACTACAATTCCCAAATGTCAAGATTCTATTTTCCCCAAACTCCACCAGTGTTCACATTTGGGCATATTGAGTATTCATGTAGAGTTTGGTCCAGATCCATCATTGTTTGAGTCCACATTGATCTCTACATGTAGGTGAACTACAACTCCAAAACCAAAGGACACTGCCCACCAAACCCTTCCAGAATTTTCTGTTGTTTGTGGGAGTTCTGTCTGCCAAGTTTGGTTCAATTCCATCGATGGTGGGGTTCAGAATGCTCTTTGATTGTAGGCGAACTATAAATCCCAGAAACTACAACTCCCAAATGACAAAATCACCATAATAACAAAATCATTTTTTTTTCAGTGAAGGATATACATTGGGTTGTAAGGTGTATTGTGTCCAAATTTGGTGTCAATTTGTCCAGTGGTTTTTGAGTTCTGTTAATCCCACAAACGAACATTACATTTTTATTTATATAGATTATTCTATTAACTGTTACTATTTGTAGATTATATCTCCAGGTTCTTTCTTTCTACTTCTAATTTTACTTTTAATGGTGCATTATCCAACAGATATATTGGAAGTGTTTTTGCCTCTAGAATCAATGATTGGGTTGTATTTCCCCCCAGAATATAATCTATTTTACTATATATGTCATGTCTTCCTGAGTAATATGTCCATCTATTATTCTCGGATCCCCCTTCTAATAGATCATTCATGTTGTATTCCCTTATATTTAACTTCCTATTGCCTTGTTGTTACTAATTCCAAATTATAATCTCGTACACAGTACACTTCTCCTTGTGCAAACTTATCCAATCATGGTTGATAATCCAAACTGATGAGAGTTGTCACTCAATAACATATGGTGACCCAAATTGGGTAAATACTAAAAAGCACCAACCTCCATGTGAAAGGCATGTTAGCCCTCTATAGCCATAGATTCTCCGCTTATCAATTCAACAGTCCTTTGAATACAACCACAAGACTGACATGGCCCTCGATGAAAATGAGATTGACACCCCCAACCTAAGACCTGATACACGTTTCCTATTGCAATCAGTGAACAATGTGCATGAGAAGTCTAATTGTTTCCTGAGATGTCATTTAGATGTCATCTAAATTCAGATGTCAACATATGAATAGCCATGAGTCCAAAACCATGATTATGAAGCTGGGAATGACCACAATGACAAAAGGAAGAGAAATACTGGGGGAAAGGGCCAAAGAATTCAAATTTTGACTGACTTTGGACATCCAGGAACGTTTAACAGGAACGTAAGGCAAAGCCAAACTGCTTCAAGTGCCATCACAAAAAGCCACTGGGGCCAATAAGGCAGGATGTCTCGGAGAGCAGGGCATGGAATCTCCTGTTGAAACACAGAAAATACATTAAATCTTAGGCAATGTGTTTTCTGGGAACCTACCATCACTACCATCACTATATGTGGGCTATATTCACTATTGTAAAGGAAGTGCGGGTCTCAGCTTCCCCTTGAGCAGTGCTTCTAAAACCTTTCCCACTCATGAACCCTTATATTAAATTTTTTACATGACTCCACTTTAATAGGTACATAAAATAGGTATAAAATCAAACATTTACTTATAATAAATCAGCATTTGCAAGGTGAGTTAAACAGGCTGATTTTTCTTTTTCTGGAGTGCAGATAAACCACTTCAAAGCACCAAATAATTTTCTCTCGGACTAACATCCATATTTCACCGCTTTGAATCACCTGAGGGCTGAGAAAAGCGGTATATAAATAAAGTAAATAAATAAAGTAAATAAATTTCAGCTTTCTTCATATTTCGCCCTCCTCTGGAATGTGTACAGAGAAGGGCGACTAAAATGATCTAGGGTCTGTAGAACAAGCCCTATGAGGAGCGGCTTAAGGAGCTGGGCATGTTTAGCCTGAAGAAGAGAAGGCTGAGAGGAGATGTAATAGCCATGTATAAATATGTGAGAGGAAGCCACAGGGAGGAGGGAGCAAGCTTGGAACAGATGTGCTGTTTTTAATATGTAACAGGTTTTAATGCGTTTTTAAAGGTTCTGCATTAATCTTTTTAAGTGGGTTGTTTAATGCTCTTTATTTAGCTATCTTTTAAAACATGCAAAGTTAGATGGTTTGAATCTCATATGGGAGAAAAGCAGAAATAAATGAAATAAGTAAATAGTATAAATAAATAAACAACCAACATGTGAGGATGATTTTTCCAAACCTGACTAACTTGAGTTCTGAGATAAGTGTCAGAATCATTCCAAATACTATTTGCAACCAAGAATCAAACATATTTCCTTTATCATTCACTCACCAGAGTGCTGTTCTCAGGCACAGGTTTGGCAAAGAGGAGCTCAAGTACAGCAACTACAAAGTATGTACAGCTCAGTCTTTGAAGCACCCCTGGGATTCGCAGGTTTTCCCAAGACACTGCAGGAGGTACATAAATAATATGAAAATCAAACACTGCTTTTTAAAAAGAGAGGATTAATCCAACTACGAATCTGGCATGGCATTAAAGATATGGAGAACAAGCCCTATGAGGAGTGGCTTAAGGAGCTCAGCATGTTTAGCCTGAAGAAGAGAAGGCTGAGAAGAGATATGATAGCCACGTATAAATATGTGAGAGGAAGCCACAGGGAGGAGGGAGCAAGCTTGTTTTCTGCTTCCCTGGAGCTGTTCAGCAGTGTGTGGAGTGTGGTGGAGGCTCCTTCTTTGGAAGCTTTTAAACAGAGGCTGGATGGCCATCTGTCAGGGGTGATTTGAATGCAATATTCCTGCTTCTTGGCAGGGGGTTGAACTGGATGGCCCATGAGGTCTCTTCCAACTCTTTGATTCTATGATTCTATGATCACATGACCAGCAGCTTTATACAGATTTTCCCCCTGAAAATTTTAAGCTGTGCTTTCTTTTAGTTCATTTAGCCACCTTTGCTTTTTTTTTAGCCGTATCTTCAGAGATGTTCTATGGGAAACAATTCCACTGTTTGCAAGACACAATAAAAATTACTGCAACAATGAACCCTCTAAAACATTTTTTCCAAAAAATCCAGAGTATTTCCTATTAGGAATTACTGATGGGGACATCAAACTAGACTTGAATGAAGACATTTTGTTTATGTATCTAACGACAGCCGCTAGGATATTATATGCGAAAGTTTGGAAACAGAAGGAAATACTGGAAAGGGACCAATGGATAATAAAAATAAATGAAATTAAAGAAATGGATAAATTAACTTTCTTATTAAAGAGAAACACAGGTAACCCGATTAAACAAACAGACTGGTCACAAGTGGAGAAATACATAGAAAAAAAGAAATAAAGGAAACTGATTCTGAATAATACAATAAGTGGATTAAAGAGTGGTAAAACCTTGGGCTTTGATACACTTTTTTCTTTTTTTCATTTGTTATAACTTGGAAGATTAATTGGATTATAAAGGTGATCTAGCGAAGAATTAGAAGGAAGTCATGAACTATTTTTATTTTTATTTTTTATGTTCATTTTTTGGATTTTTTGGGGGGGTTTTCTCTCTCTTTTTTCTTCTTCATTTTCTTTTTTTTATCATTTCCTACTCTCCTTTAAACTGAATTGTTCCCCCTCTTTACTTGGAAATACTATATATATTTACATGCTCTTTATATATTAAAATAAAAATTTAGTTTAAAAAATTACTGCAAAAACAACTAGTACTGGCTCTGACCCCATTGTAACCTCTGCAGTCACCAGTTTCATATTACTTCCAAGCTACTTAGTAATTCAAGTGCCGCGTCTGTTGGATTCCGCTGAGACATAAGGCCCTCTGCAAACTATATTGCTTATTAAGTGGATTCGGTACTGTTCCATTATCCAGACAGACAGCACTAGACGGAGAAGGATAGTTCATTTTATTGGGGGGGGGGGGTTGAGGGAGTTAAACTATTTTCCTGTTATTCCCTCCGCCCATGTCACCATCATCAAAACAACCATCATTTATGATATGAGAATAGGGTGGGGGGTGGGGGGGGGGAATAACCATAAAATTGAGAAAATGGTTTTCCTTCTTCAACTACCCCCTCCCCCCATCCTTCTCTGTCTAGGCCCCCTTTTATAATCTGCCTGGATAATGGAACAGTATTGGGGCTTCCTATCTGTTGACCTCTTAGCTGTCTGTGTAGGTAAGGGGAATTTTTCAGAATTCTAGCATTTGTAATGCCCAAAATTCTGCCTATACAATCATAGAAATCGAAAATTTGATAAGAATATTATGAGTAAGATATTTCCTGAACAACTGTTAGGAATAACAATGTAAAGGTGGTTAAGTTGTAACAAGGAAGTGAGGTGTACAATTCCTCTCAATCCTATCATTATTACAATCCCTTAAACCAGGGGTTCTTAAACTAAGGCCTGGGGGCCGGATACGGCCCTCCAAGGTCATTTACCCAGCCCTTGATCAGGGTCAACCTAAGTCTGAAACAACTTGAAAGCACACAACAACAACAACAACAACAACAACAATCCTATATCATCAGCCAAAAGCAGGCCCACACTTCCCACTGAAATACTAATATATTTATATTTGTTAAAATTGTTCTTCATTTTAATTATTGTATTGTTTTAAAGTGTTTTTTTTGCATTACAAAATAAGATATGTGCAGTGTGCATAGGAATTCATTCATGATTTTTTTTCAAATTATAATCCAGCCCTCCAACAGTTTGAGGGACTGTGACCTGGCCCTCTGTTTAAAACGTTTGAGGACCCCTGCCTTAAGCAAACCATCATTTTCTCCTTTTGGTACTGGCAGTTGGTCACTTCCATGCCAGTTAGTGTATGGAATCCACTCTGAGTTTTAATCTGAACTGTAAAAGACCTATCCAAAGAACTGAATCATATCACCAGTTCAGGTTCAGCATTTGGATAGCTCCTTCAAAGTTCAGGTTAAACCCCAATGTAGATTTACCATCTTATTGCTCTGGAAGCAGCCCCTCCAATATCTGGGCAACATCAGGTATAGATGCTAGTATAGCTAAGGTGAACATGGAAGAAACACAGAACTTGGTCTTATTGCTTCAGCACTTCCTTTCAAGAACTCAGGCCAGATATTTTGCAACAGTGTGAATCAAATGATCCCATGTACTGTGGATTATTGAAAATTTAGCATCATACTAAACACTTCAGCAAGCAAGGGTCCAAAAGTGGCAAGCTCAAACCACTGACCGCATAGGGAAGCTGATGAGGAAACACAACATACAAACTATCTACAGACCCACCAAGAAAATCCAACAAATGCTATGTTCAGCAAAGGACAAGAGGGATCCTCTCACTTCTGCAGGAGTTTACCGTGTACCATGCAGCTGTGGACAAGTCTACATAGGGACCACCAAACGCAGCATTGCCCAAACACAAATCAAGGAACATGAAAGGCACTGCGGACTACTTCAACCAGATAAGTCAGCCATAGCAGAGCACCTGATGAACCAACCTGGTCACAGCATTTTATTTGAGAACACAGAAATTCTGGACCGCTCTCACAACCACCATGTCAGACTACACAGAGAAGCCATTGAAATACACAAGCATGTAGACAATTTCAACAGAAAGGAGGAAACAATGAAAATAAACAAAATCTGGCTACCAGTATTAAAAAACTCTAAAATTGCAACAGCACAAAAACAGAGAGGAAGCAGGTAGGGACATGTAATTACCTCTCAACAAAAGTTTGCTCCAGGCACAGTCAGCCCATTGTATGCTAATCAAGGTGGTCAGTTGAAACATTCACACCTAGCTCCAGCAGACAAGAGTGCTTTGTCTCACCCTGGTCATTCCACAGATATATAAACCCTTTTTCCTAGTTCCAACAGACCTCACTACCACTGAGGATGCTTGCCATAGATGCAGGCGGAACGTCAGGAGAGAATGCCTCTAGACCATGGCCATACAGCCCGAAAAAACCTACAGCAACCCAGTGATTCCGGCCATGAAAGCCTTCGACAATACATCAACCCAGAACCTCAATCAATGGCTGATACCAAATGAGAGACTCCCTCCTGGGCACACAGAAAACTGCGCGACTTGGGAGGTGCTGAATAGACTGCGCTCTGGCACCACAAGATGCAGAGCCAACCTTAAGAAATGGGGCTACAAAGTGGAATCCATGACATGCGAGTGTGGAGAAGAGCAAACCACAGACCACCTGCAATGCAACCTGAGCCCTGCCACATGCACAATGGAGGACCTTCTTGCAGCAACACTAGAGGCTCTCCAAGTGGCCAGCTGCTGGTCAAAGGACATTTAATAGAATACCAAGTCTGCAAATTTTGTGGGTTTTTTTGTTTGTTTGTCTGTTTTTTTAATGCAATACAACTGTTCTGGTTCGCTCCTGACACAATAGATAAATAAATAAATAGCATCATACTGCTTCTGAGACCATTTTATGCCACTCAACTTAGGACAGTGGAAGAACAGAAGTAACACCACAACTATCAAACTTATATGCACACAAATAAACAATAAACTTGAATTTCATGCAGCTCCATAAAAGTGGAGTGGCACATGTCTTAGTGAACTTCACAGAACTTACAAGGTCCAAGGCAGTAATTTGGGTTCACAATGATGACTCCTATCAAAAAGAGAAGGAGACTCCTCCACAGGATTTTTCCAAGCAGTTTCCATTTTGAGCACCCTCGACGCAACATGGAACTCAGAGACAGTGAAATGGAGGTGCCCATGATGAACACAAACCTAAGCGGGCAAGAGGGGGAAGAAAACATATTTCATCTTGACAGATTTAGCTATTCCATATTTTGCTACAATTTCAACAACGCTAAGATTTAAGGAAGTCTTGTCTAAATGCATAAGTATTGTGTGTTTAGTGAGATAGAATACATAAATACTGAAGAAATAGTTGCACGGCTTGCACACACCTCTATCCTGGCACGCACCTGGTTTTTTATGTTCTTATTTCCTATGTCATAAAAGATTCTGAAATGTTAGAGGCAACTCACGTCTTTTGTTGCTTTTGCTTTTGCTAGTCATGCTATAAAGCAGCAGACAGTATGAGTTGACTGATTTTTCTACCTACCCACAGCAAAGTCTTGCTAGCCTCTGGGCAAATGTCCCAACCATGTGGGTCACAACTGATAATCCTAAAAATGATAGTCCTAGATGCACCCTTAGTCAGGGACAGGAACCTGTGGGCCTCTAAGTACTGTTGGACTCTATCTCCCATCAGCCGTAACCTTTCCACATGCTAGATAAGGCTCTTGGGAGTTGCAATTCAACAGCATCTGAAGGGCCAAAGATTTCCCATCCCTGTCTTAAAGCATTTTAAATCCTGAGGTGGGTAACAGTGCAGTAGGGTTGATTCTGAAGAAGAGACTGCTTGTATCAACAAAATACAGCCTCGGGGTTCAAATGATACAAGCATGCATATACCTTCAAACATGGGAATTTTGGGGTTGTTGTAGATTTTTCGGGCTATATGGCCATGTTCTAGAAATATTCTCTCCTGACATTTTGCCAGCATCTATCGCAGGCATATAACAGCGCTCCATGCAGTCATGCCGGCCACATGACCTTGGAAGTGTCTATGGACAACACCGGCTCTTCAGCTTAGAAATGGAGATGAGCACCACACCCCAGAGTCAGACATGACTGGACTTAATGTCAGGGGACAACCTTTACCTTTACCTATAGCAGGCATCCTCAGAGGTTGTGAGGACCTCACAACAACCCAGTGCTTTTGGCCATGAAAGCCTTCGACAATATATGGGAATTTTTATTCACTGTTTTCAAATGTTTAAAGAGATTTGTTGTAATTTTATATAGGTATGTTCTTTACATTTGATTAAGATCTGGAAGGAACATACAAGTGCAACATGTAAAGTAAAAGTCAAAACACATTCAATATTTATCTAAGGCAGGGGTCCTCAAACTAAGGCCCAGGGGCCGGATACGGCCCTCCAAGGTCATTTACCCGGCCCTCGCTCAGGGTCAACCTAAGTCTGAAACGACTTGAAAGCACACAACAACAACAACAACAACAATCCTATCTCATAGGCCAAAAGCAGACCCACACTTCCCATTGAAATACTACTAAGTTTATATTTGTTAAAATTGTTTTTCATTTTAATTACTGTATTGTTTTAAGTCTTCTTTTTTGCACTATAAATAAGATATGTGCAGTGTGCACAGTAATTCATTCATGCTTTTTTCAAATTATAATCCGGCCCTCCAACAGTTTGAGGGACTGTCACCTGGCCCTCTGTTTAAAAAGTTTGAGGACCCCTGATCTAAGGTAAAGGTGAAGGGTTCCCCTTGACATTAAGTCTAGTCGTGTCCAACCCTGGGGGGTGGTGCTCATCTCCATTTCTAAGCCGAAGAGCCGCCGTTGTCCGTAGACAACTCCAAGGCCATGTAGCCGGCATGACTGCATGGAGTGCCATTACCTTCCCGCCAGAGCGGTACTTATTGATCTACTCACATTTGCATGCTTTCAAACTGCTAGGTTGGCAGAAGCTGGGCCTAACAGTCGTAGCTCACCCTGCTCCCCGATTCGAACCGGCAACCTTTCAGCAGCTCAGCAGTTTAACCCACTGTGCCACCATAATAACAGATACTAAAGGCGTTCGATTAGAGGCCAGCGGCAATAGGAAACGGAAATTTGGATTTTGCGATTCTCCTGGCTCGGTTTGGTTTTTACTGGCACGTTAATCTATTAATTTATTGTTAAATTTTATTGATGATGTACAATGTTTTAAAATGATTTTATTTTGAATTGTAATTTTTATGGTATTTATGCTGTTAGCATCCTCTGATGCTCATGTGAGGCATATTGAGTCCCCCTTGTGGGGAGAAGGGCGGGATATAAATATATGAAATAAATAAATATGTTATTTTCACATCGGGAGCTCATCCCACTCCACGGATTCAAATAGCAGGAGCTCCCCTTGCTCCCCGGATTCCAACCGCCAACCTTTCGGTCAACAAGTGCAGCAGCTCAGTGATTTAACCCACTGTGCGACCGGGGGCTCCAATATTTAGCTACATATCATAATATATATATATACAAAACTTTAAAATGATATGGAAGTCTATAAGAAAAAAAAGACTATTTCCAAGCATCCTGTTTCAGGATACTGTGTTCTAGGTTTTGTGCCTGCATTACTGAGTTTTCATTTTTCAAATCACGGGATTAATAAAACAACAAATGAAAAAACAGTAATTACAATGGTGTTCATCTGAGTAAAAAAAATAAATCAAGGACTTAACCATTTTGATCAAACTTGACATACAGTAAAAGAAAACCCATATGGAGCTGTTCTCAATGAAATTTCTTGAATGCTGAGAAGTCATTATTAGCGATCATGAGGAATTACCATGGAAAGACAAGGTCGGCTACAGTTAGTCCTACAAAGAGAAAATGCAAAATTGGTTTAATCTAGATAATCATCAATCCAGTAGTAACTGCTTTTCAGGCTGAAATCAAATCCTTCAGTCTAATGTGTCAATAAGCTTTCTCTATATTTCTGCACTTACAAAAATGTACCTGTTACATGCAAAATATATGTAAGCAAATCCCAAGCCTTTTCTGCCTGCCCCCCCCCCCCCCCCCCCCCCCCCCGCCACCCCAAATCACTTTGGGAATGGGCTGTTTAGACTGAAAGAGTCTGGGGATAATTCACTTTTCTCTTTTGGCTCCTTTGCTTCAAATCACATACACACCACACTGCTTCTGCAGGGAGAATGTGTTTGTTCTTGTTTTGGGGATTTGGGGGGGGGGGGGGAGTTTCATTATTAATACTTCCAAAACTTAAAAGCAGTAAAAGAACACTTAACAGTTGAAAGTACTGTATATTCATCTTGTTAAAGACAGTTGGTGTTTTGTTATTTGAATATAAGAACAGCCATATTGGATCTAGTCCCAGGACCCAGTATTCTCTATAGTGGCCAATCATCAGGTATAGAAACCCCGCAATCAGGATACAGGGCCAGTACCTTTGCAATTCAGGTCATGTCTGGCTCTCTGTTCATTCATATACAGGAAACTAGTTTTACAAACAACAATTTACCATTCCAGCTCTGATGCTTGAAGAACCAGTACTTTCCTCCTCCATAATTCACGAAGACCATAATTATAAGGGCCAACCTACAAAGAGGAAAGCAAATCATAAAACATATCTGCTAGTGGAATGCTGAAAGACTACCACCT